ACTTAAGCCTAAATTACATTTTTTGTTTGAATTGTAAAGCATAAGCTACTAAGGCACAACTAAACTTAGGTGACCATAGTTGTCCCGGCAAAAATCCGGGACAGTTTGTTTTAGTCATCGATTTTTTCATATTATAATTCACTGAAAATCACGACATATATGAGAGAGCAACACAATTTTATTCAATTCGTTCTTTTTTTTTCTAAGCTTGAGATGCTTAACTTGGAATCCGGAATGTCCCATCTAAACCGGAACAAATGGTCTGCTAAATCTCAACTTAAGAGAGATCTCAAAATATACAACGTTATATATTATAAATTTATTGTGCGCCTAAATGTATGCTTTAGAGAAAAATTTAGAAAGATATTACTTTAAAAACTATTTTCTGTGCTAATTATGTAACCCAAATTTCGACTAGAACCAACCCCAGAGACTGTTGCACGAACGTGTACCTTCATTTACATTTAGTAAAGTAGTTGCTTAAAAATAAACACGAGTCGAGCATCTAGACTTCAGTCAAAATGTTTAAATATAATATATAAATAAAACGCCTAAATATATGCCTTAAAAAAGCAATTATTTCGTTACTAATATCATAATATATTCCTGAAACGCCTAAAGGTATGCCTTAAAATGTATTTATTTTGATACCAATGCATTGCTTTTGCTCGTACAGGCTTTCGAGCTTCAAAAAAATAATCGTAAGGCATTTCTAATATCATGTAGGGAAATTTTAGAGGCTACGATTGTTAAAAACTCTACGCCAAAAGCATTTCAAGGCCGCTGCTGGCTGACGACGATAAGTCTTACGAAGTATATGCATACATTTAGGCGCACCACCACTTAAGTATGCGTAAATCATACATAGCGTGCCTCGTGGAAGAGGAACACAAGCTGTATGCTGTATAGGGTCGCAACAGCAGCGCTAGGCACTATAACGGTACAATTACTTGCGTCACGTCGCCATTCGCACGTGCGTATCCTTTCAATTTCTACGATTTCCAAAGCACCGCTATAAATAAATAAAAAGGATTTTACACCAGCAAACAGTTCACACATGCACGCACACATACGTGCCTATTTGCATACACGCATGCATTGGCTTTACCCAATCTTATTTATTTCTATTTCTAATGCCATTTGCTAAGCCACACAGACTCATTCATTTATTTATTTATTTATCAAATGCACCGCTGCTTCTGCATTGCAATTTCGAAATTGCAAATTTAATGGCAAACTAATACATGCCAACGGGCATATGCGAGCGCCTGCATACGCATGTGTATGTGCGAATGTGTGTGTGTGTGTGCCTGCGTCGTGAAAGGATTGAGAAATTGAATGCGATTTGCGTTGTTTGAATTTAAATTAAAGTTCAGCATTAATAATTACGCTTAGATTTCTCGTTCAGCTTCGCACGTGCCCCTATATATGTCGTTATGTCGGTATGTGTGCTCGCACGTAGGGTTCGCCGTCTTCGCGCTTGCACACATACGCCATTTGTGTTCGCAACGAAAACGTGAAATTAAATGCTTACTTGTCTTTGGCGGCGACGTGCGCTGGCAATCAATGAGTTAAGTGAGTGTGAATGAGCCAAGCTATCAATGGGTTGACTCACACACACACACACACATACACATCGGTACATAAGTAGCATAGCGCTGCAATTATTACATACCGACTATTGTAAGCTCGTACGCTTCTAGCCGGCAGTCAATCAGTTCATTTTGGTTTAATTGCGCGCGATTTTCTCTTTGAGGCATTCAATCTTAATCAAGCGCGCTCTAAGCGTTTTCACATCGACTGCACACATATGACAATCTATAGCTATATGTATGTGTGACTCTATGCAAGAAGTATCTAATTACATACAGTGTGCTTTCATTGCATTCTTGCAGCGCTAATCTTCTGCGTTGAGCCCTGCAAAGCGGCGCTAAGCACTCATTACAACAAGGGAAGGGTAATAGTAAAGACATGTTTTTTGTGTGCAGAATTTGTATGAATATGCTGTTCTGGCCGTAATTGTCAAATGAATTCGCCTTACTGCAGCAACGGTAAAGCTGTGTGCTACTTGCCGATCAAACACACATATCCATTATAAGAGAAACTTTGCTGAATATGACTCTAAAATTGCTGGGGCGCCTATAGCTATGGCTTCGAACCACTTCAGTATATAAACTTAGGTCTGTCAGCCTTATTCATGAGCAGTTGCCTGCCTAGAGATTTCGCCCGCTCGGATGTGGCTTTTGTAGTACATCTATAATAAGGCATGTCACCACATCACAGCATTCCAGAATTTAAGCAGATATTCATCTGTTCTCGGGAAGAGTGAGATTCTTAACTATTTGTTATCTGGAAGTAGTCCTGTGGTTTAGGTTAGGCTACGTTAAGTTTGATTACTGTTCCCCTCCTTTGTGATGCCATAAAAATAAAACTCCTATTATTCGTGCTTATTAGTCAGCAAAACGCTTTGTGGACGATAAAAATTAGCTCAGGCATTTAATTACGATTCCCACCAGTTCGGTGGGATATCTGAAATTGTGAGCTCCCAAGTGTTTGAGTCTTAAGCTCGAAAACGCAGGACAATCAAAAAGGAAGTGCTGAGATGTTTTCACCTTGTCTTTTTCCAAACAGCTTCTGCAGATGGCGTTCCGTAAGATTCTAAACCTTAGAGCAATGATCTGTTAGAAACCTTCACTTGATCTCTTGCGATCAATCTTGGGCCAAAAGCATCTTGCGTTAGCGCACGAGCTGAGGGTTTCGAGACCTATAGGGTTTAAGCGATTCCGCTATGAGTTGAAAAGCAGATAGAGAGCGCCTTTTGATATTAAGTTTTAATATACATATATGTGTTTCTCAAATGTTCACTAGAACATCGCATCACCAAATTGTAGTATTTTTTTTATTAATTCCACTTTTTTTCTTCTTTCGCAGATTCTCTACATTGCATACACTGTCTCTACGTGCTTTAAAAAGGTAAGTGCACAGACACATAAATATTTGAACACCTGCACGACTTTATGTAATTTTTTTGGCATTCCGCGCGGAAAAGCATTACCGTTGTGGCTCATATAATTTCCAATGACTTTTACAAGCAATTTTACCTCATTTATTGTTATTATTCGTATCTTTTCTCATATATTTTCTTTATTTGTCGTTTTCCCCCCTTTTTCTTGCCAGCGATGTGAGTTGAAATTTTTTCCCGCATCGCGCAGTTCGCTTTTTTTATGGTGGTATAAAAATCACTTTTATGATCAGCTTAAATTTAATTCAGTGCTTAGCACAGACAGCAATCAGTTAAAGAAAAGCATTAAGAGGAAGGGGCACATGTCTATTGACAACAACAACTGCATGATAACTCTAAAATCATTACACATCACACTTAATACTGAGGACTTAAATACGCTTGGAATGTGATTGCGAAGCGAGTGAATGTAAGTGCGTGAATTGATGGTTTGCGCCATGGATAAATTCAGTGAGATGTTTATGTACATACATATTTGTCTCCTCTTGTAGTCTCAAACATGTCTTTACTGCAATTTGAAACACTCTGCACTACAGCAGAAGTGAAAGAGTTTGATTAGGAAAAAATTTAAGTCTATATTTCTTAGATTTTGCAAAAATGTCGTGAGTTATTAAACATGTTTTTCACTACCGCTTTTAAAACATCAGTGTCTTGTGAGCGCCTTTCTTTTACTCTCTAAAAATCAGTGTGAAATCATTTTAAGACCTAAGCTAAATATCTTATGCATTTCTCTTTAAACTACACTTTTATGGCCATGATACTTGTTGACTACCATCAATCATAAATATTCTAAGAAAAAAATGTGAGCATGGCGTAAAACACCGGTGTGCATCTTGACTACATATTAAACCATTATTATCACACGAAATCAATAGTATCATAATAAATGTTGCTATAGCGTTTAACTCGCTTTCTTTGCATTTCAAAAATCTCTTCGCACTTAATTTTCCATATTTGTTACTCTTCACCTGGCATTACTTTTCCCAAAGCATTAATTTTTTAGCAATAACATATTCCAACACTCTTTCGCTTCCCTTACTACTTCTATTTCTACTTAATTTTTTTTTGCAAAAATCCCAAGTTCCAATTTTTTATGTGCACTCGCGCGCATATTTACGAGCCCAAGCAAGTACGCTTCAGTGGCCGATTTGACCATTAAAATATCGTTGAGCGACGGCTAAAACGTTGCTTTAGTGGCGGCGCCTCGCCACAAGCCTGCAGAGCTGTGGCCGTATCTATGGCAATGGTCACCATAGCTGCCTCGATGGCTGCTTTGACTGCTTTGGCGTTCGCCTTTCGGTGGCGTTGCTGAATTTTATATGATTCTCTATTTTTTTCGCTCGCATTGTGCATTTTTAGTAGTTTTTGTTTGCATTTTTTTCTCCTGAACTCCACTTGCTTCTCACTTCTATTTCTTTCATATTCAAAAGGCCATTTGGTGCACTTTTTAGTAGTTGGTTGCTGGCAGCAACAGTTGGTGCAAATACAAAGAAAAACTCATACGCAAATCACTTCACGATTCAGATGCGTGTGCGAGTATGTGACCTCAAACCGAAATGCTTTCTATAGATTCTGTACTTAGTTTTTTTTGTGATCCATGGTTCGGTCATTGCCACCTCGCGGCACAAAGCGACATAATATTTTATTTTTAAAACGTTAAATTTTATAAAAATTCCATAATTAAAACTAATTTTGGAAGTACAACCAACTTGGAGGACGTGCAAAGGATACATACCGCTTTTCAAACTCTATATACTACTGGCCTCAATGGTGGAAAAATGGTTGAAGCTGTGTTCTATGCCAGCCGAACCGGCAGCTCAAAGATTAAACACATTACATTTACTGCAATAACCAGAACTTTACCGAAACCATGGAAATATATAACAACGGAAATACCGAACCCCTTATACAACTTATATAAAGCATTTAGTTGCTCCCAATTAACTTACTCGTGCTAGAATACCATACTACCGTTATGTATTGCTTGAGATGTTTCGAATACGTTTTTTATTTTATTTGGATTTAAATTTCAATTTGCGTTAAGCCAGGTGTACTGGTCCGTAAAACTTATCGAAACTTTTTGTAATGTCTCTTTTGAGGTCCAGTCTATGTCGTACATATAAGATCTTAACTTGTTTTGAGTATACCTCATGCAAAAGCCGCTTGTTCGTCTCCTCCGTTCTTCTGCTCAGTTATTGGAAATTTAATTTCATGTTTCATTCTAGTCAGCTCACCCTCCATCCATTTATTTTCACGCACAAAAGTTCATAGATAAACACGGATTGTCATTATGTAAGCTCTCACATTAGTCTGATTCATTCACTCTTTCGTTGTTACCTTCTGTCAGTCCATTCTCACTGTCTTCAGCTGCGCAAATGCATAAGGTGGTGACTGCCGATTTTAATTCCTTACCGCGCTCCCGCTCCGCCTTATGTTTATCTGCGCTTTTGCTCTTCTTCTGCACGTTGCCGAATGTGAGCGTTTTTAAGATCTGCGCATAAAAGCCCAACTTCGTCTCCAACGCCATATCTATAAAGAAACGCTGAAAATCCAAATGTCGCAAACGTCGTCTGCCAATCGCATAATAGTCTGCATTAGAATTCTCAAAGCGATATGTCATCATGATCGGGTAGAATTGAGGCAGCAAACGTGATACGTGCACCTTAAAATTAACCCTGGTCATCGCCAGCGGTCTGCGCTGCTCCAGCTCGGGTTGCAGGTGACGTGAAAAGTACGCACTTAGACAATATGTGCGGCCCTGTGGCAGCTCACTCACCGCATCCTTTTCCAAATGCACCTGATACTTTGTGTTAGGCGTGAGGCGCCACATGCTCAGGTAGTCGTGGACCAGCTGGACCAACTGATGCAGTGAGAACTCGTCAATGCGGAACCAATCAATGCGCTTATTCGCATTGGTTTCGGTAACAGCGCGTATACAGCTCTGCCGCTCCTTCGCCGAAGTGGAAGCGCTTTCAGTGACAGCTGGTGTAAGCTTCAAACGATTGTTTGCTTGTACCTCGCACTCCCGCGGATACTTGTAGAGGAACTGCTCTGCAGGATCGGACACTATCCAAGCGATCGCGTCGTTGATGGCTTTGTCCACGACAGTGTTGGCGCAAAGCTGTATGTCGCCCATGGTGTTTTTGCTGCCAGACGCTGTCTGTTGCATGGCTCAGAGAGAAGTGCAGCTCTTGAGCACACGAGAGAGAAGCGGAAGTTTAGTTAAAGTAGATTTACAATTTCACAATAAATTTTTATGAGCTCTTTTCTGAACAAAAATTTTATAGCACAAAGCACGAGTTGTACAAAAAATTTGACTAGAATGACAATGTCAATTGTTGGAAATCAAACGAACGAGTTTGTGTAGGATAACCCAGTGAAAAATAAAAAAGTTCCGTGTAGACTTCATTACGTACACAACGGCTCGGTTTTGTTAGACTCAAGTCTCAGTAGAGAGTCTTTTTCAAGTTGAGAAAATATCACGAATGCATTACTGGTGCAGTCTCAACAGCCATCGGAAGAATGCCACCAGCTCATAGATAAAGTTAACTTCTAATGGTTCAATGTAATTAGTCAAATATTTTCCCTTTTTATGAAATCTCAGCAGGCAGAGAACTTTTATATAGCACAGCCTAATTCTTCCACATTCTAGCTAAGCTTCTCGTCACATTGGTACTGCCTTCAAACCGAATGGACATCAATTTGGGACCACCATCCAATTCAGTTGACCACTGTAGGTACCCTGAGCTTCTGCCTGTGTTCTGTTTTGCTCTGCTGCTTAACCAGCGTCTTGTTAAAGGAAGAATTGGGCTCAGTGGAACCCGAAGTAAAATCGAATAGCTCTTAGTGCTCTCTCTTTCAACTTTCAAACACAAAACTGCTGGCTGCGGCCAATTTGATACCCGCATGCCTTATAAATCATTAAAATTTCCTCTATCCAAAGCCATTCTTCTCCATGATTTGTACACGTTTTATTACGATCTTCCCACCACAGCTCTGGGGAGCTGTTTATTTGTTTCATATTTTCGTACAATTATTGTAAACAACTAAACAACTAAAATGGCAACGATTCAGCATTCACTATGTCACTGGGGTCACTCATGCCAGCCACGGACACAAGCCAGTTCAATGTACGCTATCGCCGAACAATGGATCGCTAACGGCGTCGCTCGGGTATGAGTTTAACATTAAGCAGATCCAAGTTTCAGCAACAAATCCCCAAAGTCCATGAAATGCTCTTGAGATGTACATAAATTCAAAACTGTTCACAAAATTAATTACATTTGCTGCTGCCCTCGATTTGGCGCGCTGCTTGACAGCGATGCAGACAAGTTGATAAAGAATGTCCTTTGTGTGAATGTGTAGGTGTGTGTGCGCAAGCAAAGATTGTACACAAAAAGCGCAGCCGAGTATTGTGCCTGTTGAAGTCGAACGTATTTTATTTCGCTGCTTCTTTCTTTTTTTACGTCACGCGAGTTGAGTGGGGTTTTCCGTTCCCACTCTGAGTGTCACTTTGCTGATTTGTCGCAGAAACACTCGCAGTCAAATTCCAATGAAGTCAGCAGTCAGACATGCCACTCATTCACTGGCTTTTCGGCCTTATTTCGCAGCTTACGTGCCCCGCCCATCCTTCAACCAGAGATCGTGATTCAGTGTGTCTTTGCCTTGCATTCTTTGGCTTTGTTGGCACAGAAATCAGCATCTCATTCATTCCTTCTGCGCTGCTATCTCTCTGCGCCTCGCATACCTCATTGTTAATCTGCAATTATCGCATTTGTCTCTGTGCTGATGCGATTTGTTCCCTCGATTTATCCACTTCGTTCTACAATACGCGCCTACTCTCGCACTGCTTAGGGCGCTGCACTGCTGCCTGCGATTTGACACAATGCCGCAAGCAACAGTGTAGGGCTCTACTTTCTCATAATTCCATTTTCGCTTTCGCCCCTCTTTCATTAGTGCAATCCACCAGTGCCGGTTCGAAATTCCCCAAATCGCCTGTCAGCGCTACAGGTGAGTTGGTTTAGTGTGCGGGCATGTGGTGTGCAATTTGCCGAGGGCCTAGCTATCAACAAGATTTGTTATCTTCGCACTCTTGTTATTGGTTTCCCACACAGCTCGGTTGGCTTGGCTTACTGTCGATTTTCCGTTGATTCGCCGCCCTATTTTTATTCAATTTTCTGCCATTCATTTGATTTCGCAACCTTTTACGTAATCTGTACGGGAGGGACGTTAAAAGTGTGCCGAAAGGTGGGGAGAAACAAAAATATGTTTCAGTGGCGTTCGAGATAGAAGCTTGTGGTCGCAAACTTGGCTTTCGGAAACTGCGTTCCTAGACGCGATGTGGAGATGATGATGGATGAGAGTGCTATATGTGAATAGCTAGTTAAAATAACGGTTTAGCGCTCAGATGCCTCCACTCGAAAAATTTTCCTCAGCAGATAGCTGGTAGATTCCGCACACCGTTTTGAATTTCAATAGCTAACATTACTTTTGAAGCGCTGTGTTCCACCTATTAACTCTGTGGAAATATATAACATAATTTCTGATCGTTCTTAATAGTCTCCCACGAAAACCGTTAATATCAGAAAATCAGTCCATCGAGTGGAAACTGACGTATCTCCAAAGTCCTTCAAGATATTTGTAAAGACTTCTTCTACCATATATAAGAAATATTTCGCAGCCAATCAAGAGCTTGAAAAAGTTTGCTTCTACTTTATATAAGACCTTGTACTTTTCAAGAATTCTCGAAGCGAGTTCATTTAATCGCCTACTGAAAGTTTCTGTAAGATGCATCAAACTGTTGTTCGAATGAAAATTACGTAGGCGCTAGTATGGATCATTATTTCTAAATTTCTATCTACCTCTTTTACACTCTCCCTCTCCCTTTATCGCTATCATACTCTCTATCTCTGTCTCTTTTCCGTTATAGGTGTCATTAAAGATTTCTCGTGAGTAGCAGAAGCTTTTATGTTTAGACTGCAGGTTCATCCAGGCTTAAAAAACCAACTCTCTATCCTCCTTTATCGCTGCATAAATTATTTTAGTATTCGAGCATAATAAATTAGTTTGCTGGTAGTCACGTGACACGGTGTTATACAACGTCAACATTAAATTTGTCAAATAAATAGGAAATAATAAAAGCAGGCAACAAATCTAAGCATAACAACAATATTGTTGCAACAACAGCCACAAGTAATAATCAACTAGGCGTAAGCAACGACAAATGGTTGCGACAATTTACAGCTGTCGGCTGCAGTCCAGTAGCACAGGGCGCGACGTGACTGGCCAAATAGAAACAACAACGGTATAGCATGAGAACAGAAGAAGGAAAATGAATGAGCGCAACCGGAAAAAAGGAGTGCAAAAGCCGGAAAAGTGGGGTGGTGAAGAGCGAGGACAGAGGCGCTGACTTGTGATACGCGCACAAGCAGACGAACATAGTGATACCGAAAGGGCAACAGTCAACATGCTTTGGGCGACAGGCGCACGACAGCGGAGGCAACAATGTTGCGCAACATTGTTGCCAGTTGCCGTTTGTTGTTTGCTGTTTGCGCTTGGTTATTCACTACCAGCGTAACGGGGCAATAACCCGTCGCTGTCTTCGCTGCTTTTATAGCTCGTTTGTGCAACTTACGGATTTTTGCGCTACAACGGTTTCTTCTTCCATCTTTTCGCATTCATTATATGCATATTGTTGTTGTCGGGTTACTGTTGCGTCTGCCAGCTTCAGCCGTGGCTACTTCCGACTGCTGGGAATGCGAAATGTTAGTGGCAACAACAATGTAAAGCGTAAAAGTGGTGTGTAAACAGCGCCAAAAGGGTGTGAAAGCAAAACAATAACGTTGATGTGGCCAGCAATAATAATGAAAGAAGCAGTATTATGCAATAAAAAACGTGGCAGAAAAGGATTTTGATGTCAGACGTCACTAACACGCTCAAGCGGTTAAACTTAAGTAACTGCCAGCGCAGCATTTGCTCATTAACGAACAGTATTTTTGCAGTGTTGCTTTGCTTTCTTTAGTTTTCGCAACGACTGTTTTTTAACTTGGTGCAAATGGTATGTACATTCCTTTCAGCTCTTCTCATGAAACAGCGAACGACTCGCTTACATTAGACGAAAGTTTACCCGAATGGTAAAGACTGAACTTTGAGTACACTGAGCCGAACCAACTTCGTATTGCCACCAATTATTGTTCTCACTGTCACAAGCGGTCGTATTTGTTAACGCGCCTGATCCACATTACTAAAAGCCGCAATGACTGCTGGAAAGACGACTACTTCTATACTTTCAAGGTAGGTTAGATTAGATTCTGAAAAGATTGCTGCCTTCTATACTTTCAAGGTAGGTTAGCTTAGGTTATACTGGCCGGCTGTGACGCCATATATAGACCTACTGGTCTTAGTAATGCCAGATGGAGTTTCAATTTAATTTGAGTTAAAGTCTTCGTTATACAAAACTTCAACGCTTTTTGCGAACCTTGAAAGTGACTGGGTATCTAATTTCGGCACTTCATCTAGTCTCTTGTAATGCGAAGCTCTTAGATATTTATGGCAAGTTCTAGATAATGCTGCCCAGAAGCATAGGAGGTGTCCAGCGTCTATCTCTCTTGCCTACTTCCCTGCACTTTCCGCTTGTATAGTCGTTATTTATGCCCATCTGGCTGTGATAAAAAGAGCTCTTCTCAAATATATGCACAACGCGATGTCATTCAATTCAACTCACGAACTACGAAACGCAAACAAAGCGGACCTTAGAGTATCAAGCCCGTTAAGCCAACAGACTAGCACAAAATTGTTAGGCTTAGTCTTTTTCAACAAGGATCGTGTTGGCTTCTCCCATAATCACGGCGAAATTGACACCTGCTAAGTATTTTTAGTGTAGCGTGTCGTTTGGAGTATCTTTGATAAACATTCCAATAAGAAATCTATTATTTTAAATTACATAAAATCTTTTGCAGCGACATCTATTGGCTTGCTCTCGACAAAACTGGTCTAGGGTTATGCAGCTATAGTTTTCTTCCTTCCAGCTGCGGCAGAATATTTTCTTACACAGCCACGAGCTGAACTTTCTATTTCTGCCAAGCAATTTACGAAATTTAAAAAATTCAGTAGCAAATGTATTTTTATATACTTTTTTAAACCCTCTTAACCAAACTCATGCTCACTTCCTCGTTCGAGAGGCAAGCTCAAGGACTTTTGGATAAATTACGAATTCATTACTGACATTTGACATTCACGCTTGCCAAATATGCCATGATTTATTTTCTGCCAGTCATTAGAGCATTCGAGAGCAAGAAGTACACAATAAAAATATACATGAGCCAAACAACAACAACAACAACGCAAAGCATTGTAGAAACAGCTGTAATGAAGGCAATGCCGAGCTGAGCGTGACAAGAGCGTAGCAGAAAGTGTTAAAATGTCTTCTTTTCGAAGGCGCTGGCTTTTTTCGCTTGGCTAATATTGTACATGCCGGATATTTTTGTTGCGATGATTTGTTAAAAATGCACT